TCTTTCACACTGTTTGCGGTGAAAGTTGATGTTTCCATTGTTATCGAATCTATTACAACTTTAGTCGTTACAATAAACTCGAATGAAATAAAAAGTTGATCTTTTTATAAGATCTCCTTACACAATGAAAATAAAAAGTTTACAACTTTATCAAACAAACGCAGAGATCGTTCATCGGTCTTCTGCTTGCGTGGGATCTTTGCCTGTGCCGGGGTTTATCCGTGGACCACCGTCGATCAGATCTGATTGCTGAAAAATTGGGCAGAGCTTCGTCTATCCGTGAAGGGATCGAGAAAACTGTAGCGCCTATCTCGATAAAAGCGAGATATTTGCTCTTCTTAGTATTACCACAACGGGATAATACTAAGGATTGAGTGTGGGTGATGTAGATCTGACGAAGAACTTTCTTGCGTTAAAGAACTAGATCCGATCTCTCCTCCTCCTCTCTTGAAATCTGTGCACTTTAAGTCTTCAATCCGGCAGGGCTTCGCCGAGGCACGAGAATTCCCGATCTCAAAAAAATGAGGCCTAAGGCTTGTATTTATAGGCATGAGGGGTTGCGGAGCGGTTAAAACGGGCTAAAGGCCCAAAATCCGCGCTGAGACACCCTAGGGGTGTACACCCCTGGGGTGTCTCAGAAAATCCGAGACCCCCCTGGGGTGTCTCACAAAATCCGAGACACCCTTGGGGTGTCTCGGAAAATCCGAGACACCCCTGGGGTGTCCTGGAAAATCCGAGACACCCCTGGGGTGTCTCACAAAATCCGAGACACCCCCTGGGGTGTCTCACATTGGCCGAGACACTCCGTTGAGGTGCATTCGTCCGCTTCCGCTATAAATTCTTCGTCTGAACTCGGATTTTAGTGATTCGAAGTGCGTTGGAAGTCTAACGAAGAGTTCTATCAGCTCCAATGGTTGGATTATCTGTAGAATGAACGAGACACGAAGGGCGTTGTTCTTTTTGTAACATCACGGGACTCTCGATTAGCCCGTACCTTCGTTATTCCGAAATTCTGTCGGCTCACGTAGTTCGTCGATTCACTTCAAGCGTTCACCGACGTCAATCGAACTCCTGTGAACCGGATAGTGACGTTCGTCGTCGTTCCTTAACACTGAGCTGTTCGTAGAGACCTATAGGCAATTTTCGATGCCTACAATAAGGTAAATCGAGAATCTAAGAAGCGAGGTCGAGCAACCTATACAGGTGGCTCGAGGAGCATAGTTCGAGCAAAACAGAAAGTGGTATAAAATATTCTTTGAGTTTTTAAAAAAATGCATTTCTTTATTTATAATATGATATGTTATACATATTTTTTTGTTGAGTTACAGAGAGCTCAAATTGAAGAATCAGGTGGCTCCTCAAGTGCCTTGAAGGAGTATTTGGGTACCCATGCGACATTAGTGGATCCAAATGGTGACACATACTCGTGTATATACCCTGACACCCAAACTCAAGAGTATTGCGTAAGTGTTTATTTTTCGACGAATTCAAACGATTTTCTTAAATATATTTATAATAATATTGTTGAGTAATATTTGAATACTTTACGTGATATAGGACCGGGTGATAGAAAAGGCAAAATCATTAGGTGTCGACCAAGAACCCAAGTTTGTCGCGATGACCAAAGTTTTAGATGAGGTACATAGAGGGCATCACGGCGGTTATGAGAGAGGCTTGGGTCATGGTGTTAGTAGACATTATTTGAAGACTTCCTCCACTCCGATATTTGCCACTCCTCCTGATGTCCTTCGCGAGATGGCCGAGCTTAAGTCCAAGATGGAACGACTTACCCAACTAGTATGTATGCAAAAAAAACCTCAATATTATCTCATTCTCTTACAACCTCAATATTTATAAAGTATGTCTCTTTCCTATCAATATATACAGATTCTTTTGTGCGCGTTTGACTGATCAAACCTATAAGTTCTAATGTAGACATCAATCACAATATTTGCATAAGTGTTCATTTTTCGACGAATCAAAATGGTGACACATACTCATGATATTACTGACACCGCTAGTTTTTATAACATCAATGTCTACTAAAGCTGGGGGATTTCTGCACCATTGGTCTTTGTAAATTATTGATTGCTCAATTTGATCACAGTTTGAGTTTTGAAACTACAAATATCATGCATGTATATTTCTTTTCTGAAAGTCAACCTGACATGAATCTGGGTAACCACAATGATTATGCATACTTTCCGTTGAAAATCAAAACTGACATGTTGGCTTGCTACTAAATAGGTCTGGTGGTCCTCAAGTGACCATAATTGGAGTGGATCGGGTATGGATGTACTATATTAATTGATTTATCAATTATGTATGTTCAAATCAGATTATAATTGTGGAAGGATTAGGATTTGATTAAACCCGGGGCTCGTTTTAAGACTTTTATTAAACTTGTATGTTCCAATCCACGATAATTGGGGATGGATCAGGATTTGAGCGTGTAGTGGTAGCAGAGGCGTAATTTTACCATTATAAATAGGGGAATTTTCATATCAACAAGATGTATGATGTGAATTTGAGATAAATACAAGTGCAATGTATTTGGATGTTTTTATTTCTTTTAATGTAGGAGCCTAATGCAAACTTCCTAGAAGTAAGAAAATTAAGTAGTGTTGATTGAAAACATCGCTCATTTGCTTGGATGCAAAAGGAATGAGTGATGTGCCTGAATGAAGCAAATTTGAAAAAGATATCCTAATGGCAGTGAATATTTCTAAACTGAGTTACGATTCAAAGGTCAAACCAAAGATTGTTAAGAAGTTTTATTAAGAAAAATGTAACAACAATGGTTAAGCAGTTCAATTTTTTAGATTGTTCACAAATAGATAATGTGCAGTTAGTTGCCTATGAGATAATGGAAGGCGATTTTAACACTACCAGCGTTATTATAAGTTTCATGCTAGCATTTCTGCACAAAAAAGGTTGGCAATGAAGTGCAATAGGCAAGAAAACTCATTAAAAAATGAACAAATTATTATCATCAACATTCAATAGTCAAGAAAAGTAAACACATAGCAGTTCGTTAAACCATTATTTAGTTCATGAGAAATTAAGTTAATCATGATATTACTACTTGTATTTATTACCCATGAAGCCTCAGGAAGTTGAGGGAACGGGTTATCGCTTAATTAAGTTAATCATGGCATCTTGAGACTTCTCTTCTGCAATCAAAGACACTAGTCATGTATTACATCCAATGGAACTCCTTCAAAATGGATCAATGGTTCTCTTCTGCAATCAAAGACACTAGTCATGTATTACATCCAATGGAACTCCTTCAAAATGGATCAATGATACTGATTTGCAATAAGTGTATCTATCAAAATGGATCAATGATACTGATTTGCAATAAGTGTATCTAAGAAAACATATACATATTGTGCAAACTGCATTTGGTTTATTGTGATCAAGGTGGTTAGGATTGGACCATTCCCCTTCCTTTATTTGATAAGTTTGAATAATATTCTGTAGGTTGATTATTTGATCCAGTTATTGTTGAAATTTTGGCTGGGTCGCACAAGTCTTCTTTTTGTACATTTGTTTATGATGCAAAACTCATGTTGCCATTGATTGGCAATGTTGGATGAATGCTCTGGATAGCATGCATAATGCATTTTGAAAATGATTGGCTAATATTTAGTAACTCGGTTTTGAACAAAAAAATCTGAGTTTTCATATTTGGATATACTTAGTTAGCCGCATTCATGTCACAAATGCTTCAACACTACAAATGCATGTCATAAATTATTCATACAACAAAAGGCTTGTTTATTAAGCTTAAGTTTACATGTTTGGATATACTTAGTGTGAATTCGATTTATTTTACAGATTGATTCTCAGACCACTCGTCCACCACCTGTTGTTCCTGCTACTACTCCCCTGACTTTATCTCATCATTCTCCGGATGCTCAGGGTTCTACATCTGCTGCTCAATGTTCTCCTCAGGATATTTCGACACAAAACCCTCTTGCTAGTCGAATGGGAGGCGTGCTGGGAGGCATGCTGGGGGTGTCTTAGGGAGCTTTACACAGGAGGGCTATAGCGAGGAGGACATCCGCAAAGCTTTTGCTGATTATATTCGATTAAACCACCCGTGACTTGTACTTTTAATTAACATACTTAAGACATTTGTATATTTCAGATATCCTCTTTTGGGACTTGAGTAATTTATAAGTTGTTGTATTTTGGTTCTAGTTAGTCTTTTGTTTTATACGTGGAATATATATGTTGTGAATAGGTATATATATTTTTGTGGGAAATGTTATATGTAAACGTTGTAGGCAAAAGTGTAAAAAAAGGAAAACACAAGCACCAACAGTTGGGACCGTTGGTGCAAGTTTTGAAACAGTTAATGCACAAATTTGGCACCAACGGTGTAAGCGCGTTGGTGGCAGAAACGTTGCACCACGGTTACAGCCGTTGGTGCTTGTTGTGTATGGCACCCAAAGGTTACAACCCAATTGGTGCAACAGTTTGCACCAACGGTTACACCCGTTGGTGCTGTTATTTGCACCAACGGTTGTAACCGTTGGTGCCAATTTTTTCATGATTTATTTTTTTTAAAATATTTAATTATATTTATACTTGTACCAACGGGTGGAACCGTTGGTGCAGAAATTACACCCGTTGGGGCAGTTTCAGCCCCAACGCTACTTGCTGTAACGGGTGTTTTATCTGCCCCAACGGTTCCAACCGTTGGGGATAACATCTGCCCCAACGGTTACAACCATTGGGGCAGGTCTTCTTTGTAGTAGTGTTCATGAATTTGGAGAAGAAAATATAATCTTATTTTTCATAGCTAACAATATCTATAAATCTCATTTTGAGTAAATTAACTTTCCCAAATAAATAAACGCAGATAGACCTCTTTTTTTTTGTCAATGAAATAAATTTTATTCATCACCAATCACCAAATTTTGAAATAAGAGTGCAACAAGAACTACCAAAATCATATCTGGCAAACAAGGAACTGAAGCCCCACTAACAGTTTACAATTTTGCTATTTCTTCCTTCAAGTACTCAGGAACATCTTCATTAAGGACTTTTGAGAGTAATGAAATCTTTATTTCCTTGATAAGTTGATCAGGGCTACGGGCTTTTTGTTGAAAAATTCTCTGATTTCTCTCCTTCCATATCCAATACACAGCTCCAGATAACATCATTCTTTTCAGTTTCTTTCTGAATCCAAGCCCCCTCAAATTGTTGCTATACCATCGCAATACCTGATTCCAGCAGCAGGATCTCCACGAATACTTCAGCCATGCCATCAAATTGTTCCATACATAGGAAGAAAACTGGCATTCAAAGAACAAGTGATTTCTAGATTCTTGATGACTTACAGAATCAGCACAGAGAACACACTGGTTGTTTTCCAATATACACATGCGACACAACCTATCCTTAGTCGGAAGCTTCGATAGAGTAGCAAGCCATAAAATCATCGAATGCTTGGGGTAATGCAAACCTCCCCAAACTGTTTTCGCCCAGGGTACAGTTGCTGAAGATTGGGAGATGGCATTATAAACAGATGAAATTTTCATTGTCCCATTATTGTGACAGTTAGCAATGATTCTATGCAGGTTATACACATTCCCAAACCTCCTCAATACCAAATCCCTCACCCTTAGGATTTGTCTCTGCATCCATGAATCACTTTTTCTCGGTTGAACTTGCCAAATCTCCTGTTGTTTTGAGTAATTTCCATGCACCCATTTTATCCACAAGAGATCTTTTTTAGAGTGTATCATCCATAACATCTTGATTGCTGCAGCATAATTCCACAATTTGGAGGAGAATAGCCCCAGACCTCCTATCTTCTTATCCTTGCAAACCTCTATCCAGGAGACTAGATGGATTTTGCTTCCCCATAAGAAAGCAGAGCAAAGCATGTCAATTTTTTCCAACACCCTGATCGGCAAGATATAGTTACTTGTCCAGTATGTTTGAATACCCAAGATAACAGTTTTTATAAGTTGAATCCTCCCTGCATAAGATAAGTTCTTCCCAGATAAACTTCTACAGTTCAATTGGCGTGGCTGACACCGCATGAGTGAACTTTTTTAAAAAAAAACTCCTTTAAGAGGAAAAAAAAATTCGCTCAAGGGATCTCTATGTATTTAGCCAAGTAGTATATATGGGGGTCTATCTGTATCAAAAGAACTACATGGGTCTAATGGCAATTGGGCTTTGGAGTAGGGTGTCTGTCCGCAGCCTTTTTAAAATTATTGATATCAAATTTGTACTTGCTAAGAATAAATAGTAATAATAACTATAAATAAGAGTTATTTGCTATTGCACTGATACACATAAAAAGAAAAGAGAAATTATGACTTCGTATGGACCCCACTTCATCTTTGAACTTCCCCAAATACCCACTAGCCTAACATTTTTGCATTTCAAAAAATCTCTTCCTTCCTGTTAATTACTTTTATTAATATTTAATCTTTTTTTTTGAGCAAAAAACAAGGGATATACCCTGTCAATTATATTATAAAAAAAGATTAGTTACAAAAGTGGGATACGAAATGTATCCATGTATTGGAAGATAGAAAAAGTAGTTTCTCAATACTAGCGATATATAACTTTCTTCTTTCAAACATCCATGAAGGTGAAGAAAGGGCATTGCCGTTATTTACCGTTGACATAGATATAGGAAAGAACAAAAGCCAGCCATATATATAGAAAAGAGAAACTAAGCTTTCTATAGCCCAATAGAAAAGAGAAACTAAGCCATATTAATATTTAATCTTAAGTTGATAAATATCACTATAGGTTCTTCTCGACACAAAAACTTTGACTTCACGTTCTACCTTTGATATATTGTCTATTTTTTTAATACGAGCATATAAATAACTTATACCAATAACTTGTATAATAAAATGAACATGATTTTACTTGAAGTTTTCCCTTGTAGAATTATGAACAAAAATAAAATAGATTGCATAAATTTAAAATTCAAATTTAGATGGCTTCACCATCAGTACCTCCACGGGTAGAAAAACGAGCAATCTAGACGGAAAATTCCGTCTAGATTGCTCCATTTCCCGTCTAGGTTGGTACGCCTAGACGGAATTCCGTCTAGTTTGCTCGGTTTAATCTGTTTCCGTCTAGATTGGGGTAAACTAGACGGAATTCCGTCTAGGTTGACCAACCTAGACGGATATCAACATAGACGGAAGTAATATATCCGTCTAGATTGCTACCTAGACGGAATTCCGTCTAGGTTGGTAACCTAGACGGACTTCCGTCTAGGTTGCCACGTAGCAACCTAGACGGAATTCCGTCTAGATTAGCAATGTAGACGGATTGCTACAGTAGCAACCTAGACGGAATTCCGTCTAGGTTGCTCTGCTACAGTATTTTTTATTTTTTTTATTTTTTTTGCAAAATCTACATTACACGCTATATAATATCACATGTACACAATATAGCACAACACCAAATCATGTTCATATCCAACACAATCAATCTAATTATATTTCAATATTAAATATAATTATATTTAAATAATACATTCACCAAAATACTAGAAAGGTGCATAAATGTTTTACATAGATTGATTATAAAGAATACAATTGTTTACATAACTTAATGAACTTTGCATAATTTATAGAATCCAATTGCATTTACTCCTCCAAATTGTTGAAGCATCATGTTTCTTCCTCCTTGATCCTACATTATACAAAATTCAACATCAATTAGTCCATGCCATGAAATACACATAGAAAGCATTAACTTTGCAGAAGAACTAATAGGGAAATCAAAATATTGGTTACTGAAGGATAAACCAACAGACTGTTCCAATAAGATTTTCCTCTTGAAAAAGGTCCATTTTCGTTAAACCATGAGGTGCGCAATTAGATATGTACACAAATTAAATGGTACACCATACGTAACTACAATAAGTTAACAAGGAAAGGCTAAGACCTGCATAACGAAAGAATCAGATATATCCACAAACTAAACAGTAAACCATGCATAACAAATTAAACATAAAATGCTGCGACAAGGAACAGAAGCATTAAGATGCACACATATTACCTTCTACTTGAGACGAGCGCGATGATTGTTGTGTAAACAATAACTATTGAAGCAATAAGTGCTGTCCCAAAGGAGACCCTGATTAAGTACTCAGCCCCTCCCTACAAAAATTGAAAAGGTAAGCTTTTGCATACTGGTCTAAGTTATACATTATATAATCAAGTAACATCAACGACAATGCCTAGCACAAGAAGAATGAGACCCTGAGTACCTTCAATTTGTCGAGTAGAGGTTCTACTTTCATTCTAAAAGATTTCCCAGCCAACTTTGACCTGTAATCCCTTGGGAAAACATAAAGAACATCGCCTTCATCTGAAACCTATCAATATCATCTTCAGATAGATAGCCTTATGAAGACAAGTAAATATGAAGAACCAATCACCCTTACCGGTAAGCCATAAAGGACTTGTTATCATACACATATTAAACAAATAGAGGTCCTAAGTTTAACAAATTTATTACAAGTCACCAACATTGTTTCTTTTTCATAAAGTTGTACTTGTAAGAGCAAAATAAAGAGAACATGCTGCACTCTGTTTCAATAACGCAAGTTATGTAACTACTTTCCTTTTTTTTTGTCCTTTGTATTGGTTAATTCCCAAAGAGAAAGTAACAGAAACTAGTTTACAGTGTTGACTGAAAAATATACAGACTGGTGGAATAAAATTTGCAAACCATACACTAGAAAACATTAGTATATTGGCTTGTCAGGCCAGTGACCATATCAAGTTGCTGGATCCTTTTCTAAGATAAAAATTCTCAAACAAAAAGAGTATACCACTGCTGGTAAACCAAGAAAATGCTTATGCATTGATGCCACGAAGAATCATGACATTCTCCAAATTATAAATACAATATCTGGTGGATTTCATATTTCCATGGCGGGTAAGAGATATAAGACAGACAACTTTATCGTCAGGTGTTGCATATGTCAAGGAAATGTAGCACAAGTTTACGAATTTAATGCAAAACATTCTGAACTGAAATTGGAGAAGTCATTGAAATAATTGGCAGAAGTTATAAAATAGGAAGCTTGGCAAATAAAGCCATCAGTTATCTTGTTTCCTGCAGATATGAGATAACATCTGTTCAATTTACGTTATAGCATCATGCACAAAAACTTTTATTGCTATGCAACAACAGCAACACCAACGGAGTTGTTCCCCAACATTTTGAGGTTAGCTACATGAATCAACAATTTTCCATTCAGTTCTATCATGTATCATTCCCAATCCTCCGTTAAGTTAAATACTATCCTGCCCTTCTTAATTGCTTCCAACAAATTTGTTTTAGGTCTACCACCAGTCTGTTTTCCGCAATCAACTATAATCTTATCGCTTCTTCTAACTGCTGCAGCTAATGGTCTTCATTGTACATGAATAAATCATCTCAACTGACTCTCTCTCTCATTTTGTCCAGTATTTAACTTAACCACTATAAACCACCTAAACTCCCATCAAACAAAATGATCGAAATAACAAAGAAACGCATTAAAATACCTCTAAGAATCCACCAGTGTCAGCAGCGAGAGCCTGAAGAGCTCTCTCAGCCTCATTCAATTTAAGCCCAGCTCTACTCGCCACATCCCCAATCGTAACCCTGCCTCCGTACGAATCAACGGCCTCCATCGCTCGATTCCTCACACCCGAAGGCAGCTTATCGGTCTCCACAACTCGCCCAGGCCTGAGTCCAGCGGGAACGTCGACGCTCGCTCTGATCGCCGGAGCCGAAACCCTAACCCTAACCCCAACGGCCGCAGATCTTTGAGAAGTGCGAAGGCGAAGGGGGGCGGCGACGAAGGGAGTTGGGCGGAGGAGTGAGGGTTTAGAGATTGGGTATTTGCAGGAAATCAAACAGGACGCCATGGAATTTTAGGGTTAGGGTTTGGATTTTTATGAGATCGGCATTGAGAGAAAGAGGGTTTATGGGGTAAGAGAGAGAGAGATTTCGGGATTTGGCCAGTTTGTGGGTTTTTTGATGGAGAGGGAAATTAAAAGCGGGGGAATGAAAAAATAGGCGGGGAAGTGAAAAAAAGGAGGGGGATCCGTAAATTTTTTTAGGCAACCTAGACGGAATTACCGTCTAGGTTGATGCAACCTAGACGGAAATTCCGTCTAGGTTGATTATTATTTAAAAAATAAAAAAAACCGTCTAGTTTGTCAATCTAGACGGAAATTTCCGTCTAGATTGATTCAAACTAGACGGAACAAACTAGACGGAATTTTTTCCGTCTAGTTTGCCTCAAATTAGACGGAAAAAATTTCCGTCTAGTTTGTTCCGTCTAGTTTGTTCATTTTTCTACTAGTGCTCCTTTGTATTCCTGTTTTGTATAATATTCTAAAATTAAAATGGGAAAATAATAATAATAAGTCAGCTCATTGAATAATCTCGTGGATAATTTTTATTTCAGATCCAAGGATAGTTATGCTTTGATTGAGATTACTTAATAATTGACTATTGTAATTTTTTAAATTCTGATTAATTATAACTTGATGAGGATTAATAGATGATGATAATATTAGGCGTCCATATGTTAACTTCTAATCGAATTATGTATCCATACATCATGCGTAGTGAGATATAAAAGGACACATAACCACTTTTTGAGATGAGATACATAATAGGATCTCATTGTTGTGCGCATCGCGGAAGCGTGACAATAAAATGGGCGTGCTTCGAGAACCAAATCAAACAAACGTCGAGATAAAGGCCAAACAAATCAAAACAACGGCACAAATCCAAACACAATAGTTTTACATGGTTCGGCAAGTTGCCTACGTCCACGGGGCAAGAAGGGGATGGGGTTTTCACTAATAGAGAAAGAGTACAAACTGAGATTACAAATCACTCGAAGGAACAAACTAATCTTACCAACAAGCTCTTAATCTCTCCAAACAAAACCCTAAACAAATAGCTCAGAAAATAACTCTTTTCTGTGCTCCAAATATCCTCAATTTTTCTTCTCCACCAATTTTCTCTTCCAATTGTTCCATATATATATAAATCC